GCATCAGGAAGGAAAACCCGACTTATTTTTATATAGTAGATGATTTTCTTTTTTAAATTGCGTGAAATGTTACGTAAAATGCGTCACTCGAGTCACTTATGCTGTGCTTTTCCGGTTCCGCCATTAAGAATTTTACTTTATATAAAATATGTTTTTGTTGCCCAATATGCGAACTCTATTATTACAATAAGAATAGGCTAGTTGACCCTTTTTGGAAAAAGGTTTTAAATGGTTAATAAATGTTCTATTAGATCGAAAAAAAATGTATTGTATTTTTTTTAAACCTAGAAAGCTACAAATCTTTAATTTTAAAATAGACTTTTCATGGACATACAAAAACGCTGTCGGCCATTTTAGTCTATAGATTATCTATGCTATGACGTGAACTGTGGTAAACAAAAACTCGTAAACACGTAGAAAATTACTTTTAACTGAGTTTATAATAAAAAAAAACATGATTTCTAATAAATACCACGAAAACTAAAGTAATTATCATTACTGTATTGTACGAGAATATAAAAACACATCCTTGAAGACTCCAGGAAAGTTGTGGATTAAAGTGCCGAAAGAAATTAACCTACGCAACTTTATTACACTTATTCATATGTTGTATCAGTTTTATGTTTATTACTACACTGTAATACTAAATGTACTGTACTTACATAGATGCCTTGTCGTTTCTCTGCTCCGCAGAGCAGAAATCGGGGTTTAGTGTAACAAATTCACCAACCATCAATGCGTCAACTATTGGCAGATTTGTGCTTTCTGCTTTCACAAAGCCGGCATCCATAATTAGTTTTGTCAATGTTTTTTTCTTTCCTAACGTTAAAAGTGTTTTAAGATAAAAGTCAGACGAAAGAATCCACCTACAGTAACACGCGAATGACATTTAGTTGTTTACCACAAGAGACGTCAAAATCATGGCGGATGTGGCGAACAGCGTTTTTAGTGTTTAAAAAATATAGACTAAAAAATATTTTTTAAAATTAAATTTCTACAGCAATCTTCTGCCTTTATGAAGTGAAATCGATATATTAAGGTTCCTTAGACTAAATACTTTAAGAAATAAACATTTATTTAATATAATTCGACATGAGTAAACTAGCCTATTGCTATCCAAATTGTATAAAAATCTATAATAAGTTAGCACGCTTGATAACGGAGCTTAGTTTGCCTATATTTAAAAGGAAGCTTAAAATGTGACTAATAACGGAATGTTTTACTCAGTAAGAGAATATTTAGAAACGAAAATTGACTTAGAATAGAATAAGTAAAATGACATAAGTAGCTATAAATTTTAGAATTAAATTAAGTTTGACATTCATATGCCCTGTCGTTGGCAAAATGGACGAATGAATAAAATCACCACCAAAATGTATCTAGGGTAGATACGTTTTGCGTGAATAAATAAATTACATTTCATTTCGTTAAAAAAAAAGAGCTTTGAGGGGAGGAAGAAGCTATAGAAACGCATTTGTTGGACTAAGTATACTTGATTTACCAATTCTATGGTGCAACTCGGAAAAAATATACTCTCCAGCTTCTACTGTTTTTTGCAGCTCTTTCCATACATCTACTGTCATTTTACTGCCTCCAGTTTTTTCAAAATCGGACCTGACAACACTGGTCTTACCTAAGACAGGAAGGCATAAGGACAATGTATCCATTGCCAATAAATTAAAAAAAAAACTAAGATAGGAAAAAAAAGAACTCATAAAAAAGAATATAGTCAACATTGAACTAGGGTACATACGCTGTGGAGGGTACAAAAAGCGAGACAGTTGTTTGCTTATAGATCTCATTATTTCTCCATAATATTACGAAACGAGAGTACGAAAAAGTAGAAAATGAAAAAGTAAAATATATCGCAATTGTAGTTTACAATATAAATCCTGATACACATAAAAAATAGACTGCAGTTAAGTGTAAAAGAAACGGAGCGATCGGGCTGTTTCTCTCTTGTTAGTTCTTAGTCTAGAAAGTTGTCAATTTTATTCGAGTGCCGCTCTATGTCTATGGCTAGAACTAAACGTCTAATAGTGCGGGTTGTTTATCCGGCGGTGTCGTAGTATCTTAGGTTAAAACAAAAAGAGAAGATACGACACTTGCGGCTCAAAAGTGATCCGCTTAAATTGTGGTACATGACCACAATTTGCTTTAGTCACAATTGGACATTCAAACACGCTGCATGTGCACTCAATATAACAATATTGCGTATATTCTGTGTTATAAAGATATAACGATGCCTTCGATGCTTTTATAAAGAACACAAATAGTTCAAAATCAAATAACAAACGCCTCAACAACACTTCCCATTCGTGAAACTGTAAAAGATTTTTTTTCTCTAATATCACGGTTTGTCGTGAATATTATTTACGTAATCGCCATTTTGTTATCAAGAAAAGGACAACAATACAGCTTAGCTGTAGGACTTGGAAGCGGACTCGCCATTTCGCTCGCGCTGCGTTGAAGCGTACAGTTCTGTCTCGCTCGCTCGATTAAATGTTTATATACAGACGTGTGCGTGTGTGAGAGTTGCTTATGTAGTTGAGTCGGATCATATTTTATTTGATGCTAGTATGAGCGTACCGTATCTACCCTTTTTGTTTTACCCTACGTTTCGTTAACAACGCCGCAACTTAGGCTAACTTTTATTTAGTTTGTATCGCACTGTATCATAATTTGACGGCGACCTGTGCGAACAGTCTCTGGTGATGGACCTGAAGCGTGGAGTAGGTGAGGGCGTGGAGTCCGTCGGGCGGTCGCTGGGCACTTACCCTACCGGCCGCTAGGAGACGCTCGCGGCCAGAGTTCTTGGCCTCCTGCCGATGCACCAACATGGTATACCGACACATGTGGCGGGGAAATCTGACACAAAAATGAAATATCCTTGTACACTTTCGTTGAAGTTAAGCAACTTTCGCAGTGGTCGGTCATTGGATGGGTGACCAAAAATCTTCTATCTCGAGCTTTAGCCGTTGGTCTTGGCTGCATCTGCAGTCCCACGTGGTGGGTTATGGCATGGCCCAATCTCCCTATTCCATCCATAGGGAAGGCCTATGCTATTCCCCAGCAGTGGGGACATTAATATGCATGATGATACACTTCCGGGCACATCTATCTGCCCACCTAGCGTTTTAAGTTTGGACAGTCCCTTGCTAAAAATAAATGTTACGTTGAGCATAAAGTTATTACCTATACCAGTTTTGAAGCTGATTTATTAACCATCTATTTGTTTGTCTTTAAAATTATTGCTCAACCATAAACATATGTATTTGCTACATACCGTTGAAACTTATAACACCAAGTGGACTGAGAGATGTGTCTGAAAGTATATATGTATTCTATCCGTAACCCTAGTATTGTAGAACACAAGCCTTTTAATGCTTATTACAGGGGTAGGTTAATAATTGGTGTGGGTATTAGAATTATTTATTTACCTTAAAAAATATTATAAATACACATATGATAACATTAACGAGGAATATAAAAAGCAAGATTTGTACAAGGGCGTTGCTTTTTGCTGCAGTCATTAGCACCCACCAAATCCCCCACAGGAGCCTAATGGCCCGATGGTCCCAGCAGTGGGTCTTGGTGCATTCGCCCTATGCCATCTATAGCCGAGGCCTGTGCCCCAGTAGTGGGGAGATTAAAAGGCTAATGATTATGACAATTTCATATTAAAATACATAATGGTGTCAATTTTGGCATGATTCTCTAAACTTAAAACTAAATTTAACATCAGTCTCTCCCTTTCATTCTGTATAGAGAATGACAAGGGTACATCATCATCAGCCTATTAATGTCCCCACTGCTGGGGCACAGGCCTTCCCTATGGATGGAATAGGGAGATTGGGCCATGACCCACCACGCAGGCCCAGTGCGAATTGGTGGGTGCTAACGACTGCAGATGCAGCCAGGACCAACGGCTTAACGTGCCTTCCGAAGCACGGAGGAGCTCGAGATAGTAAATATTTGGTCACCCATCCAATGACCGACCACTGCGAAAGTTGCTTAACTTCAACGATCGCAGCCGAACGCGCTAAACACTTGCGCCATTGAGCTCCTCTCAGCTTGACAAGGGTACACTGTTGTCAAATTTAATTTTAGGTTTAGAGAATCATGCCAGAAACGACACCAATGTAACTTTACACACCACCTCACTTTGTATGAACTATCTATATTATATACAATACAAATATTATTATTGAAGTTATACTTCTTTAGGCGCGTTATGAAAAAATGATGAGATTGAAATTTTAAGATGCGCGCGCATCACTGTAACACAAAAAATTAACAGCATGAAGTTGGTCGCTTTAGCGTTGGTCGCATGCCGTTACTTTTGTGTTTACCGCACATTAAGAAAATCTACCAACAAAATAGAAATAGAATCTCTATTTTGTGGGTGCTAACGACTGCATTGTCAAGGCCTATCAAAAGTATTTATTAATCTGGAAAAACGGAACCAAAGCGCGATTCAGGAGACTACAGCGCCATCTCTTGACCATTGGTGTAGTAGAACCAAAAATCACATCTTTATTTTTTGTAATAAAGTAACAAAAAGTATTTATTAATCTGGAACAACGGAACCAAAGCGCGATTCAGGAGACTACAGCGCCATCTCTTGACCATTGGTGTAGTAGAACCAAAAACCACATCTTTATTTTTTGTAATAAAGTAACAGTTATAGGTATTCATATTTATAATATTTATCCACATGTTTCTAGTTTGTATATTCGGAATACGTGTTTGAGTTTCATACAAGTGCAAATCACATATGTTCTAATAAATTATATTCAGTAGCGATTTTAATTGAATATTTTGATTATTTATTTATTTTTTCAAATTAAAACTGAACTTTATTGACTGTGTCCTTTTCCAGACTTTTTATTAATTTATTGTAATTAATTATTTGCATGCAATTAAAAACTAATTTTAAACGATGCCAAAGAAGGATAACTTCTCACGCGCCTACATAAGTACACGCACCCATTTTTATATTATTGCTGATAATTACATAAAATACACATCATTAACCTTTACTTATAATTCAGCGTGTCCTGCAGACACATAGGCCTCCTCCAGCCTTTTCCACCCCGATCTATCCCTTGCTAACCTCAGCCATAGCGGGCCAGCTACCCTTCTTATGTCATCTGACCATCTTTTCAGCTGTCGTCCACGTTTACGGTAAGTGTTCATTCTGGGGATCCATTCCGTGGTCTTCCTTGTCCACTTCCCTATTTCGTCTCTATTCGGACTATCTATATTATAATATTATAAATGTGAAAATGTGTGCAACCTCCACGTTTATAATGTGAACGTAACTGCTGAACTGATTTAGATAACATTTGTTAAGAGATAATATAAGTCCTGGGAAAGGACATAGGCGGGAACCCACTAGTTGTAAAACCTTTTAAACGGTTATATAACAGGTTTCCGTTAGCGCGTTCGGACTGTGGTCGTGGTTAAGGAACTTACACAATGGCCGGTCATTGGATTGGTGATTTAAAAAAATACTATCTCTAGCTCCTCTCTATCAAGGCACGTTAGGCCGTTGGTTCCGGCTGCATTGCAGTCCTTCTTAGCACCCACCAATCTGTACCGGGTCTGTGTGGTGGGTCATAGGAAAGGCCTGGCCCCAGCAGTGGGGACATAAACATGCTGATGAGTTATATAGTCAAAACTGCTCACATATTTTTTTTACTTAAATTATCCTGTATTGAAAATCAAGCCTCATCGCTAAATTTGAAAGTACTAACCTTATAATTTCCATGCCATGCGCAGTGATCCTCGCAGAGAAATCGTCATCTTCACCTCCCCAGCCTTCGTATCGGTTGGAGAAGCCGTTGACCAGCTTGTATTGGTCCGCCGTGACGGCAAGCACCCCTCCTGATATATAGTCGTAGGGCAGCACGTAGCGGAACTTGTCGATGGAGGCGCTCATATGACGCGGCTGCTTGGCACAAGCGTAAAGGTTGGCAGAGTCCAGGGGCAGCAGGTCTACGTCATGGAGTATCAGGCAAGGGAAACGTTCCGCCATCGCGTACCGGGCGCCTATGTTGTACAGCAGACCTTTGTTCCAGCTCTTATTGTCCTGTTGTTCGATCAGGAAGATCCTGTAATTCATATTGACGATATTATGGAACATGAAATGAAATACTTTGTATTGAAACAACGAAGAGCTTGATGGTGCTGTGGTACACGTTTGGTGCAGACTGAACGATAGTTGAGTAACTTTAGGAATGACATAAGAGGAAATTAAATATATTTTATATCTAGCTCTCCACCTTTGAGCCATATTAAATCAGTACTGGCTGCAGTTTTTAGAATCCACAAACTTGACTAAGTTTGGGTTCTACTTATTAACTTTAACTTTCGGTAACAAAGTTCAAATAAAAAAATATATAATTTCATCAATTTAGAAAGAAAGAAATAATTTTATTTGAGACAACATAATAATATAAGAAATAAAATAAAACAATTAAATTTAGTCTCAAAACGGTCCCAACTCAGCATAGTGCTAATGTTGCCATTAGCGCTGGTCGTCCGTTGGAACCGGTTTGGTGTCGCACGAATCAATAACAACAAGAACAATAAATAATACAATTTAAAGAATTACTTAATCTTAACAAGGAACTATCAAATTAAATTTATCTTTGAGGTAGGCTTCGAGAATCTAAACCTTAATATATTTTGGGCGAATGAATATTTACAAAATTAGAAATGAATATGAAACATAGTAAGTTTCACATAAAATGTGAAAAGTTTAGTTTTTTTGTTCAATCAAAGTAGGCCACCTGGTCCTCCACAGTGGATTACAGTACAATTACCCAAAAAGACTTTGAATAAAGGTCATATACCACTGCCACAGCAGAAGGGATATTAAAAGATGATGTTTCACAATGCTATTAAGTAGTTAAAAATTATTCTATTTACAAGCAAGTAATAAAATATGCCTAGTTTGCAAATTTAAATACAAGTCAGAGACTACGCATTGGCACCATAGTCAGTTAATTGTAACGTTAGGTGGTAGTCAGTTAGGTATTTTCAACAATTTCAAGCTAATGGTTATAAAATAAAAATAATTTAATGATTGAAGCTTTGCAATAATATTACCAACATAGTTATTAGAACTTACTTGTAATGAATTTTTTGCTTCCTTAAGAAGTTATGCATGTATGGCAGGAAAATGTCTAATTGGTTCTGTCTGTTCCTGTATGTAACAAGTATTGCTACACTAAACATTGGGTTGCATTCGTCAGGGGTAAAACTTCCATTAGAAATGCCATTTGCTGAGAAGTCATCATATTTCTTTGGAACCTGCCAATTCTCAATACTTTCAGTACTTTGTAAAATGTCATCATAATGACAATCTGGCTTATTTTTTTTTAAAACCAAATTCGATGATATTTCCTTGTGTAGTTCATTTAAGAGAGTATGCTGTGACAAATGAGCATAATTGTATTTACCAAAGGCAGCAAAGAATTGAATAATGGCAATCAGACATAAAACATAGAAGATGCATGTAGTTACATGAAGTTGCAGAATTTTATTTTTTAAAGTGGATTTAGACATTGGTACAGTTGACTTAAAGTTTATAAATAAATATGTTTATGGAGAAGTAAAATTGTAATGTGGTTGTTTCTGTGAGTGTTCATACGCAGACCTGAAAAAAAAATGCCTTTAGTTAGTGGAGAATAAATATGAGAACAAGTCTTATAGGCATCTAAGATATATAGATAGATTGAAGCAGCTAAATTCTCAAATAACCTACAAATTAATAATTAAAATAATATTGCAACAAGATTTAATTGTTAGCAAAGGATATAAGTAGACAATAAAACAATGGTTATCAAGTTTGACCGAAAAGTTTAATCAATTAAAATGGGGGCAAATAAATCACACAATTTAATGGAAAACTTCCTTTGTTGATGATTATAAAACATACAGACATTTAAATATATCGGAGATGATATAAAAGCAAAATATATTATTATGCAGATTGTTTCTGTGAATATATTTTGCCTCTAAAAACTAGCAGATTGAAAGGTAATTGACACAACACAATCTTGTTTGGATATTACTAGGAATAATATCATCTTATCTCTTACAGAATACTACAAAAAATATAATTATACACCTGGAACACAACACTATGTGGGGCTGAGCTCAAACTGAATTCATGATGAAACAATATTAGATAACACCTTATCATTAGATGAGTAGAATGATAAATCAAAATACCCTTTATTTAACATTATGACTATTTCACAACTTCAGAGATTGTAATGATTTTGTACCTTATTCAGATAGGGTTACTATGAAAATTTTTGAAACTCTGAATGCTATTAAAACAAAGAATTGTAATAATAGTACTGTACCCAAAGTAAACCTACTGCACTAGTTAGTTGTTAACTAAGTTTATCTATAACAGTTATTTACACTATGATAAGGTGATAACAGCTGCATCCCATGCATACATAACCACAGTGTATTGAATGGCCTTGACATGTGACCTGATTGCAGCAACCTCAATAATTGCAACTAAATAATATTGGAATCCTTCTTGCAGTGGCATTCTCTCAGGGCGTTTGACAGTATTCATATCGCCCGCCACCGCGAACTACCAGTCAGCTGTCAATGTGCTAATATTACACTGACAACAAACAAGTAAACAAAGGGACTTGAATAATTTAACTTGAAGTATTAATTTATATTTAAATAAAAAATAACTACAGTAATTTAAGTGCAAAAAATGCTAGGACAGTGTTCAAACTAGAATATTTAAAGTAAAAAATGAGTGTTCTTTTGGACGAACTTACCTGCAAGCCACTTGACACTTACAATGAAATTCAGTTATTTTTACAAGATCCACCGGCCTGGAGAACACTTTGTAATGATTTACAACCCCACAGTAAATATTTAGTAAAAAACTCGAGTCTTGTAGGAGAGGAAGTAAATTTTTCGGAACCAGGACCAGCGACTTTCTGTCATTTTGATGCAGATGATAATTTGGCAAATGAAATACGTGTTGAAGAAGAAAGATTACCAAAAACACTGGTTTGTCATGACATGGCAAATGGATATCATGACGATTGGTAAGTAAAATAATTTTAATAACTTTTGGGTTTGTTTTACTTGTAATAGAGCCGTAAAAGCTCAAACAGACGACAGACGGCCGTGACAGTAATGCGGGATTTACACTGCCCAATTTTAAGAGACCCTGACTAAGGGTGGTATAATGTGATTTAGTAGGAAGTAAGGGATATCTAGGGCGATCGCCGATCGGCGCGGTGTAATAATTGCTTAACATAGCTAGGGGCCACGCCCACCCTTTCGATTAAACACTTAGAATTGGGTAGTGTAAAGCTATTAACAGACATTCCGATTTGGTTGGTGCCAACCAAATTGGAACCGATGTACCAACCATTCCAACATTGCTATAGACGTTCCGACGGTCGGCCTTCCAACCGTCAGTTTACTTTGCTATGAAGTAGTGAACGGACGTCTTGCCACCTGATGCCGTCGATCGTCGATGCATAAACATCATGCCACCGGTATTATCTAAAAATGCTAAAATAGCGTTGGTTGCAGCAACCATTGCTGCTACATCACCGCTACAAAAGGAACAAAGGAAAAAACGAAGCGAATGGGCTAAATTCTATTATAGGAATAGAGAATATTACAGCCATATGCGGCTCCTTAAGGAATTGGATGATGAAGATTTCCGAACATATCTTCGAATGACTCCAGAATCATTCGTTGAAATATTAAATTTTGTGAAAAAATATATAACGAAAACCGATACAGTTATGAGGCGAGCTGTAACTGCCGAAGAAAGATTAGTGGCAACTTTAAAATATCTCGCGTCAGGAAGAGAATATAAAGATCTTAAATTAAGCACATGTATATCACCACAACTACTGTCTGAGATAATACCAGAGACCTGCGAAGCTATCATTAGAGTACTCAACGATTACCTAAAGGTATGTATTCAATAAAACAACTTTAATTATTTAAAAAAATTATATTTTTTTTTCTATAGTAACAAACATGACGATGGTGATTCTGTTAGCAAGTATAAAAAATTTAATGTATTATTTGTTGGGTGTATCCTTACTTTCGAAATCATAAAAATGAAAATGAAAAAATACCTACGAATATCAATTCGAAAAATTACTTTTTAAAAATCAAATATTTGTTTAATTCCTTCGCCTTTCCTCTGAATACTTGTTGTTGATTGCTGCTTAATTCAAAAGAAGTGTTTGGGTAGTCATTAATCAATGAAGTGGAATCTAATGGGATTGGTGGCAAATCATAGATTAGTTGTGAAGATGAGTCATCCGATGTAAGCTGAGGGGACACTATGTGTTGGTACGAGTGTGATGATGGTGGAAGCTGAGGTAATGTTGATGGTGATGGCTGACTGTGTTGAAGTGACGGTTGAGATTGTGCTGTATGTGAGTACTTAGGTGATGGTGATGGCTGACGATGCTGTGGTGATGGTGTTGGTGATGGTGCATATGGTGACGGCTGGTAATGCTGTGGTGATGGTGATGGTGACGATTGATATGGTGATGGCTGACGATGCTGTGGTGATGGTGATGGTGACGATTGATATGGTGATGGCTGACGATGCTGTGGTGATGGTGTTGGTGATGGTGCATATGGTGACGGCTGGTGATGCTGTGGTTATAGTTCATGATTCACAGACGAACTACATAAAAGATAACAAAGACCCTGTACTTTATATATTAAAGTTTATTTTACGTTGTTAGATGCAAAGATGGCCTTACCCGAGCACAATGAGATAGCAAATACTATAGAAACTCTACCGAGTTAGTTAGTTACCGAACTCCCGTTCTATAGTATTTGGAGATAGTTTTAACAATTAATACCCTTTGTCTCGATCTTACAATAAACCAGCCTAAAATGGTATAAACTGAAAATGATTGCCCAATCTACTTTCCTATCCTAATCTTCATTACATATTTATAATTCCTACTAGTGGCCCGCCCGCTTCGCTTCGGTGTAAAGCTGTAGTGTAGACTATAGTTTTTGTTCTCAGGCTTGTATTATACACAATGACATTCTTCTAATACCCAATTACAATAGGCACGCGCCGCCAAGCCCGGTAGCGTCGGAACCGCTATGTCCCTGAATTTTAAATTTGTAATATCTTCGAAAATATTCATTTAAATTATATGCGTTAAAGGACCAAATTGTTCTATATTAAATGCACAATGTATTTAAGGCACTTAATTGGATAAGGATGAATGTTATATTGCTTAAAATCGCTTCGTAAATAATCTATTATTTCTCGTAAAAAGTATAGGATAAAAATTGGTTATTGTGGGTTATCCTTAAGAGATAGACATATACCATCGCGGACTTTTTTGTAGACCTTTTTAAGGTGTACAATACTGTAGTACATTATTTTGATCTATCTCGTGGGGTTCAGCCAGCGTTTGCAATGTAAGCGCAAAAAATGTGTTTATTTACGACCTTACATTAAAAACCTCTAAAACTATCAGTAGTGTTTCTCTACTATATTATGCATGTATTATACATATAAACCTTCCTCTTGAATCACTCTATCTATTAAAAAAAACCGCATCAAAATCCGTTGCGTAGTTTCAAATATTTAAGCTTACAAAGGGACATAGGGACATAGGGACAGAGAAAGCGACTTTGTTTTATACTATGTAGTGATTAAATTGGTGTCGATTCTGGTATAATTCTCTAAACCTAAAACTCAATTTAACATTAGTCTCTCCTTTTTACTCTCTGTAGAGAATGACAAAGATAAACTGTTGTCAAAATTATTTTTAGGGTTTAGAGAATCATACCATAATCGACGACACTGTTGCCAAATTTAAGTTTTGCGGTTAGCTTTGGTGCTTTTCCCATTTGAAATTCGGTCTTAAACTTCTTAAAAACTTTGAATATGAAATGCCTCGCACCGCTCTTCTAAACAATCCGTTTAATTTTAAATCTCGTAACTGTAACTAACTAAATAACTCGAATTTATACTTAGAAAACAAAATCACACGAAATTAGCTATGTTAGCGAGACAACTGAGCTACACCATTTGACAGTAATTAAATGTTGTCAGTACCAGTAAAACCAATAGTTCCTCAAACGTTCTTTTCATGACTTTATTGATAGACTGTAACTTCGTAGCCGAATACACAATGTATTAACAACGGATATCGGTGTCAAATTTAGCATGATTCTCTAAACTAAACTTAAATTTGACAACATGTAGATCTTAAATTTAGTTTTAAGTTTAAAGAATCATACCATAATCCGTACTAATAACGCGCCCATAGGGGAGAGCGGGAGAGCCTTGAATAAACATATGGATGGATGGATATCAATAAAATTATCAACTTATTTATTTAAACTAATAATAGAAATGCAATATGCAATATAAACCCATACACAACTATCGGCCCACCTAGCATTTCTAGTTTTGATTTGACAGGCTCTAGCAAAAATTCAAGTTACATTATGCAAAAAGTTTTTACGCAGTTTTGAAGCTCATTTAATAACCATCTATTTCGTGTGTTTCTGTTAATATATTATATTGCTCAGTCTAAAATATATTAATGCTGAAGACCGATAAAACTTAAGTGGGCGTATAGATGTTTCTAGGAGTGTTTATTTTTAAATTATTGCTTCATTTATTTTTAGCAAAATTGATGGAACCGGTTCATATGATGCCTACACATTTTACAATTGGGCGGGCATCGACATTTTCTGTTACTTCAGCCATCACCTAATCACAATACCACCTTTAGGGTGGATCAATGTTGGTCACGCTCATGGAGTAAAAGTTATTGGTATGTTTTTATCACTCATATTTTCTCGGTCACACGCTGCGTCATCCTATATCTATGATGGTAAATCAGTGCGGGCAAAATTTAGCGTTTTGACTATTAGTCTAGGTTCAGCCCACGACACTAAACTTAGCACGGTAAGACTCCCAGATGATACAAATATAATTAGACACGTCATTAATAGCAAACACGAAATGAAGATGCTGTACTACAAAAAACCTGGCAGCGGTATTAAAAAAAAACGAGCGAGCCTTACAGTGGTCGCGTATGATGTGTAACATTTGAAACCTCACCTTATATTAGTAAAAAAGAAAAAAAAACCTACTACAAAAGGAATAAGCCATTTGAACATTATATTCTAAAATCATTTAGAATACAATGTTCATTCATTCATGGAGGAGCTCGAAGGCGCAAGTGGTTAGCGTGTTCGGCTGCGATCGTTGAACTTAAGCAACTTTCGCAGTGGTCGGTCATTGGATGGGTGACCAAAAATCTGCTATCTCGAGCTCCTCCGTGCTTCGGAAGGCACGTTAAGTCGTTGGTCCCGGCTGCATCTGCAGTCGTTAGCACTCACCAATCCGCACTGGGCCCGCGTGTTGGGTCATGGCCCAATCTCCCTATTCCCCTATTCCATCCATAGGGAATGCCTGTGCCCCAGCAGTGGGGACATTAATAGGCTGATGATGATGATGATGATGTTCTAAAATCACATCACACTTCCGTCCCATTCCACGAAACCACTCCCCCACAAATTGCAGGAAAGCGAGAGGGAAGATGTTACACATCAATAAAAATTAAAAACCAATAACTACAAATACGGTGTTTAGTGTGATAAGATTCCCAGGTTTTGTTTGGTCCTCGAAATAGGGGAGGGGTAAGACTACACGAACCAGTAGTCCTACCCCAGCAGTGCTGCAAGTCCTAATGGCTGGTCTCAGTGCTGTCTTTGACCTATTGGAGGCCCTGGGCATATTAGGATAATGAGGCCTCTATGACCCCCGTTTGGTGATCTAACAGGAACTAGGGACTATGTATTTGATCTAAAGCGGGCCTCTATCGACCGCGGGGCCCTGGGCACATGCCCAAAGTGCCCACTGGGAAAGACGGGTCTGGCTGGCCTTATCAGTGGCAGCAGCATGAGAAGGGCCCCCAAAGATAACGTATCTAGTATGATCGACCTCCTGGAAAAAACAATACTCATCTGAAAGATCATCAATTCCTGTGTAATTAAGGACATTGTTGCATTTTCCAAACAATGGAGAAAGCGGTTGCTGCAGCGGTTGAAGGTCTGCCCACCGCGCAGCTGGATTTGGCGTTTCAATTCAGTTTTGTCTTTTTTTTTTATACACACTCCAATTAGCCTAGCCCCAAAGTAAGCACTGTAAGGCTTGTGTTATGAGATACTAGGGTAACGGATGGAATACACATACTGTACATATAAAAGCATATTTATATAGAGATACATATTAAACATCCATGACTGGAGTACAAATGCTCGTATTCATCACACAAACATCTGCCCCCACCGGGATTCGAACCCGGAACCTCTCGAGTCGGCGACACCATGAAACCCGGCGTACTAACCACTCGGCCACGGAGGTCGTCAAAAGTAATTAATCTCCCGGTTCTTTTTAATTTGTAGTGATTGTATTAGAATGGAAGTAAAATTAATCTTTATTTTATTAAAATTGTTGTACTCTATACAAAGTTATCAGAAGTTAAATCCACGCAGATGTACGGAAATGTGATTTCATAGAGAATTTAACTGTCAATAGTGATAATAGATGGCGCTAATTTAGTTCTACATCGCGTCAGGTTTACAAAGTGTAAGGGTTTTCGTTGTTCAAGTAGTTTCAAAAACCTGTCGCGATGCAGAAATGTATCAACGCTATCTATTATCACTATAGATATTTATTTATTTTATTCTTCATGCACATACTGTACAATGGCGGACTTAATGCCGTAGGCGTTCTCTACCAGTCAACCATAGGGTGCTGTGGAGATTTTAGTGGCAGGGTGCACAAGCTGCTCGATGGCGCAAGTGGTTAGCGCGTTCCGCTGCGATCGTTGAATTTAAGCAACTTTCGCAGTGGTCGGTCATTGGATGGGTGACCGAAAATTTACTATCTCGAGCTCCTCCGTGCTTCGGAAGGCACGTTAAGCCGTTGGTCCCGGCTGCATCTGCAGTCGTTAGCACCCACCAACCCGCACTGGGCCCGCGCGGTGGGTCATGGCTCAATCTCCCTATTCCATCCATAGGGAAGGCTTGTGCCCCAGCAGTGGGGACATTAATAGGCTATAATATATACATGGCGACAAACTACTTAACGAAACGCCTGTTCCAATAAAAAGGTTCGCAGCTTGGTTTTAAAGGAATAAAAAGATATGTAATTATTTTACAGATTTTGTCTGGAATATGAAATAGAATAATTGATTTTGCAGGTACTGTTATCACAGAATGGGCTGAAGGTCAGGCATTGTGGGACAAAGTATTAGAGAGTGAATCTGAGTATAAGAACTTCGCAAGTGCTCTAGTGGCTATTGCGAAGACGTTGAAATTCGACGGATGGCTTCTAAATGTAGAAAATAAGGTTTGAAATCCTATTGAAAGAAAATTTGCGGAAAGGAAAATTTTATAAATTATGCCGTATAGATTTATAAATATATTTTTAGGTGTCGAAACCTACCGCTCTCTTAGAATTTGTTAAACATCTCCACAAAACTTTACACGAAGAGCTGAAGCATCCTGTGTTGATTTGGTACGACAGTGTTACCGTGGAGGGAACTCTAAATTGGCAAAACGCGCTCAACCAAAGAAACAAGTAAAACATACTATTTCTGACTGAATATAAGTATTTGTTACTTGAAATTCCATATTTTTCTTGCAATATTGTGAGTAAAGTTCTCCTTAAATTTCAGGCCATTTTTCGATGCATGTGATGGTATTTTCACCAATTACTCATGGACTGTGGAACACGTAAAGGAAAGCTCGAAATTGGCTGGTGAGCGCATCACTGATCTCTACATCGGCGTGGATGTATGGGGGCGCAACTTTTATGGCGGCGGCCAGTTCAATACCCATGAGGTTTAGTATCCATGAGAGATCGACGAGTTTTTTTTTCTTTATTTTACACTCTCACCACTTAGTGTCGCCGCACACGGGCCACCGACCACAGCCACAAAACGCCGCCACCGGCATATTTCAGTTCTTGTAGATTTCATACATTTTGTATGGACTCGCCACACACGGTACGCCGGAGGCCGCCACACGCTAGAAATCGTCGTTACTCGCTTCTTGTGGCCCGCACCGGCCACTTAATGCGCCGATACAAAACGCCGCCACACGTCACTCACGCGATTCCCCACCCCTTTCTCTCTCTTACCTTAGTCGGCCGCTGTCGCGCGCTTTAGCCGCTTTAGTAGCCGCTTCTAGCTTCTCGTGGCGGCGTTTGTGGCTGTGGCGTGTGGCCCGTGTGCGGCGACACTTAGACTAGCCCCAAAGTAAGCACTGTACGCATGTGTTATGGGATGCTATGGTAACAGATAGAATACATATACTGATACATATACAAGTGTATTTTATCTAGAAGTATAATATAAACCATCTTCGATTGAGGTACAAATGCTCGTATTCATCATACTAACATTTGCCCCCGCCGGGACTCGAACCCGGGATATAGCACTGGGCCACGGAGGTCGTCAGTTCAGTCGAGTTGATTTGTAATAAATAATATTCATCATCATCATCAGCCTATTAATGTCCCCATTGCTGGGGCACAGGCCTTCCCTATGGATGGGTTAGAGAGATAGGGCCATGACCCACCACGCGGGCCCAGTGCGGGTTGGTGGATGCTAAAGAATGCAGATGCAGCCGGGACCAACGGCTTAACGTGCCTTCCGAAGCACGGAGGAGCTCGAGATAGTAAATTTTTGGTCACCCATCCAATGACCGACCACTGCGAAAGTTGCTCAACTTCAACGACCGCAGCCGAACACGCTAACCACTGGCGCCATCGAGCTCCTCTATATAATATTATGTTTCTTATAATTATATATTGATGTCGATTCTGGCTTCTTCTCTAAACTTAATACTAAATTTGAAATAAGTCTCTCCTTTATATTCTCTATTGCGAATGTCAAGGATAATAATCTGTTGTCAAATTTAAGTGTAGGTTTAGAGAATCATGTCAGAATCGACATCATTTTATTATCGATTTCAGGCTATAAGTGTAGCTTACTCATATGGATGTTCATTAGCAATTTTCGCACAAGCTTGGACTCAAGAGGCGATGACTTTTGATGAGAAAGATATCAATACCGTAGCTAACGCGGAGGAACTGGATAAATATGAGCAGTTCTTATTAAGGGACCGCGCATTGTGGGACTGCATCTGGCCATACCTAAATACGAGGGTACCGAGCAAGTTGCCCTTCAAAACTTCTTTCTGCAGAGGACAAGGAAAGAAAAGACGGTTGCATGGAGAGGTAAACCATGAGATTGAATAAAAAATATTTGATTTAACTCTAGGAAAATAAATGTAAATAAATCACAACTGTATCTCTGTAGGAAATCTCAGCCTAGATTGCGATTCTTCGACCGATGTAGGGGTCACTTGTAACTAAAATGTGTACTTTGTTATTTTATTTTCCTGTAGGAGTCACTTGTAACTAAACTGTGTGCTTTGTTATTTTATTTTCCTGTAGGAGTCACTTGTAACTAAAATGTGTACTTTATTATTTTATTTTCCTGTAGGAGTCACTTGTAACTAAAATGTGTACTTTGTTATTTTATTTTAGTTTATGTAGCAATTTTGTTGTGATGATTATTATTTCATTTTGTATAGATAAGGATCGACACAATGGAGAAGTTTCATGATGTTGATAATGCTATATTTAACTTAATAGAATAGAAATATAGATCGAAGCCAATATACCAGTGAAAAAAATATTGAAATCCGTCAAAAAATGATTGAGAAACACATTATTTAAGTTTACGTATTTTAGCGCGGAACGCTTGAACGAAGAGCGCTTGAGCTGCTTCTAGATATTTTACGTATAGCTGTTTGTTCATTATTTATGAGTAGTGTAATTTTTATTTTAACATAATGGAAGAAGATTTCATAAAAGGACAAAGTGATAATTTAAATTGATACTTTACACAAAAAAAAGTTTATTAGGCGTTTTTAACTGTCGTGCTTTGACACATAGGGACAATACAATATTTGTGGGAATATTTTTTAGCCTCAGCCATTATTATAATAAACAAAACACGACACGGGCGGCGCAAATAACAGCACGCCAATGAATTTATACATAAGTGTATACGCGCCGCGTCGACTAGGTGAAGTGACGTCACACGCTGGCCTGTCGCATGAAACAGAATTATTGTTACAGGCACTACTTTAAAGTCCCATAACTTTTTCATTTGTAGAGATATTTTAATGATTCTTTCAAATTTTTGATTAATTTTACTTTAATTTTTACAGTCGATATATTTAAAAAAAATGGAAACTTCTTCATTCTGTAATTACTTAAATTTTCAGGGTTACTTTATACAGGTTTTTAAAATTTGCACCATATTTTATTTTAGGTGCTATGTCCGGTTCCGTGGTACAACTTCCGACACATGCAATATCAACCAAACTCATCCCACGGGCCACATCGCTATACTATGACCGCCATCGGTAAAATGCAAAACACCTCGCAAACATCGCAAAGAGAAAAGAAAGGTATAATTAAAATCCGCGAAGATATTATCACAAGTAAAGAAGAAATTGAGTGTCCTGAGACACAGAGTATAAATAACCTTGATGAAAATATAATAGTTAACGAGGCACATGCAGATGAAGTAGATGAAGCGAGGAAACCGCATAATGTGAAAAGGAAAATTAAAGACATTTTCAAACATATATTCAAAGCGAAATCGTCTAAAAAAGACGACCAAAGTGGCCCCAAAGAAGATGATGAAGACGAAAACGAAATCGATACTAATGAAAGGAAACCAGATGATTCTGAAACAGGCTCTGAAGAAAATATTGATATGAATTCCCATATGTCTGGTAAAGAGAAGAAAGCATATAAGCCTAAGAAACTGATTGATCTGCGTTCGTCCGAGAAGTCGATGGTATGGATGTCGATCAACATCAACTTGGGGCGTGAGGGCCAGGCGCCCGTGACCCGATACGGTTTGACATTTGTCCCCGAAGAAAAGGACTGTCTACAGGTTTATTTCAATGACAGCTTTATCGGTGGATCCTGCGTGAAGGTGCTTCCATGCGAGAAATTTAAACGGACCACCAGACTGCTCCACTGCGACTTCTTCTGCTCGGAGGCATTGGTGTTCTGTGTGGTGACCAAAACTATGTTTGGTTGCGAAAAACAGTATCTGAATCTGAAATTAACCATAAAAAAGGCCAATAAACAGTACCAGAACATAAGTCTTATTGGTCGTACGATTCCCACGCAAGGACACCAGGATCAGTCGGCTTCCTCCGTCGTGAATATATACCCAATCAACAACAGATCGGATCCCGAGTTTCGACATTTGCAAACTTACCTGTTGCTGAATGAGCCCGACTTTTACTTGCCAGTTGAGAATTCATACGATTGGACTGTCAGGTCAGTGCACACACAAACAAGTCATTGTAAATATTGGTGTCGATTCTGGCATGATTCTCTAAAGCTAAACTTAAATTTGACAATAGTGTATCTCTGTCATTCTCTATACAGACTGAAAAGGACAGACTGATGTCAAATTTAGTTTTAAGTTTAGGGAATCCTGCCAGAATCGACACCATTATCTTACATTCTTGACTCACGCTGCATAGGTGATGAAGAAAATCATAGCGACCTTAGCGTCAGATAGTTTTTTAATTGTATGTTATTGGACAACAAAATTGATTCATAAAATAATAATGCGATATAACAGTAATTTATTATTTTCCTCTGTCGTAGTCACGGAGGAAAAACAAAGAGGAGGTGTGGTGATTAAATTTCCTCAAGAAACGACGCGTGATAATTTGCGGGATGCGGGGTGTTCAGCTCCGCCCACTTCTCAATATTTCATCTATCGGCTAATAGCAAAACTAGCTTAGGTTGATATTTATGTTACTACGTAGTAGTTCAGCTATCTAACACTAGATGTTCAAAAGTTTTGTATATAATGGGACGTACTCAGAACTTGAAGCTTCAAAAAAATGAAATATGTAGGTAAATAAATAAAATAAACGTTAACAAATTTGACCGATTTTAAAATTTTTAAGGTATAATTTTTATTATTTTAAAACATGTAACGGCTTGATGAAAAAAAATCCAGGCAGACCAGGCAGCAGACGGGACTCGAACCCGCACCCGCTCCCGTCTGCTGCCTGGTCCGCGTGGATATTTTTCTAGTTATATTTTCTTTAGATTTAAATTTTAAGGTAGTTTAAAAATAATAAAATGTTATTACAAACATAATTTTATTAAAAAACATCAATTACCTGTAAATAATAGTTTTGGTTAGTTGTTGTCGGTTGGTTGCCCTATCGTTTTGTATTGTGGCAAAATGCTTAAAACGAATATCAATATATTTTTCTGCAATCGATTTCATCAGAAATACAACATGATTAACTGTAGGTGATTGGTCAAACATATGGTTGGCCGATTTTTTGAAACAATCTTGTCCAATAAGTGATTTTAATGTATTCGATACAATTTTATGTTGACGAAAGTTAGGAGTATTCAAAGATTGCGATTTAACACAACGAATACTGCCTTCGGTCCGTATACATATTTTTATGACATCTCTAGATGGGAAAGTAAGACCACCCTTATTTTTAGTTTTTATCAAATCAAGGTCACTATCGTCGTAGTTATCAGCATATAATTCTTTGAGACAGCTCTCACATTTGATCTTGGAATGTAAATATTTGACCACATACCCAGAAATATATGCTACTATATGACGGCGCGAATAGTCACCTATAGTTGTATTTAATTGTTCATCAAATTCCAATAACATATCGTCAGGCATAGGCTCGACATCCATGCTATCCGAAGACTCGAAACTCATTTTATTTAAAATGCGATAACGTTCTGATGTAATATTATTTTTTTGCACAGAAGATTCATTTAAAATGGAATATATCTTCTTCTTCTATGGTGTCCAATCCGGTCTATTAAGTTTTGAAATCCATTGCTGTTTTAAATTATCGTTGGATGGAAATCTAAAACGAACATAAAAATAATTAAAATTTATTTACTTGGTAAAATAATTTAATACGTATTACGGCCCTGGATATTTGTAACGTTTAAAAAGTTATTCTATATGACGACAGATGGCGGCCAGTTAGTAATATATTGATAAAATTACTGTTTTAGATACTAAAAGTTATTTAGGAATAAGTGTATAACAGTTTTCAGTATTTACGTATGATTATTACAATATACTACTGCAAAATTATACGTAAACTTGTGTATTTTCTTCCTAAAAGTGTCGCCATCTGGTGTCAAGTAGTAGAATTTTAACGCTGATAGCTGAGGCTGAGAATGTTCTAGAACTTATATATTTAATTACGTATAACATTACTTACAAATGAAATGTGATGCCATCCATATTATCAGAACGTCTGTCTGAGTAACTTTGACATAGTAAAACACAAAACTTCATCCTTTTCTTGTTAAAAACGCAAAAAAACACTTATAATGCGAGTCTCGTTAAGTGTGCACCTGACGAACGCTGAAAGCATACTGACTTAGGCCCCGCCCACAATGATGACGTCAGGACCTAGTTGAAAATCACAGTGCACAGTTGCTTAGGCCAGCTCCTCTTTGTTTTTCCTCCGTGGTCGTAGTGTAACATTTTGACGCTCTGCTAACACCGCAATAGCTTAGGTACATATTGGTGTCGATTCTGGCATGATTTTCTAAACCTAAACTTAAATTTGACAACAGTGGTGTCGATTCTGGCACGATTCTCTAAATCTAAACTTAAATTTGACAACAGTGTATCCTTGTCATTCTCTATACAGAATGAAAAGGAAAGACTGATGTTAAATTTAGCTTTAAGTTTAGAGAATCACGCCAGAATCAGTGTATCTCTGTCATTCACTATACAGACTGATTTCAAATTTAGTTTTAAGTTTAGAGAATCATGCCAGAATCGACACCACTATGTATTTAAGAAATTTTAAATCGTTGGAAGAACGAGATGTTGGTTCATATCAAGGTGTGGTATTTGACAGTGTTAAAAATAAATGCCAATTGTTAGCATCTGTGAATATTGGCAGGGGTTTTTACTATTTTTACAAAAAAAAATATTCGTAATTTTACTAAAAACTAACGAAAAATATAATAGTTTTCTTATCTATTTTCACGTTACCCAAAACGCTTTTGATTGGCGGAGTCTAAAATGACGTCAAACGCAAGTAAACTTCCGGTTAAAGTGACATTACATTGTATCGTTTGACGTTTTAATAACAGTCGTGTGACGTCACACACTAGTAAGAAGCCATATTGTCCAGAGAAACGTTTTCGCGGCAACTTGAAAATAGAGTTTTTGATTTGGTTATTTTTACTTAAATACACAACTGAATGATGAATACCCACTTTTACGGACTCCATAAACATTAGTCAATAAAGTAACGTCAATGAGATCGTTTTCTAAAACTTGTCAAATACCCTATTTGTGCAGAATTATTAAGCAGTTGGCTTATATGTGGCAGGTATTACAAGCTCGCCATCCCTGGGTCTCGAGTGATGTCGATCAACTGTAACACCGGGTTGGAGCGGGGATCTATTCTGCTGGGACACTTCGGTGTGTGCTCGATGACCACCGTGAGTCATTTTCAATCCTACTGATATTATAAATGAACGATGATGATGAGGAGCTCGATGGCGCGGGCGGTTGCGATCTTTGAAGTTAAGCCACTTTCGCAGTGGTCGGTCACTGGATGGGTGACCAAAAATTTTCTAACTCGAGTTCCTCCGTTCTTCGGAAGACACGTTAAGCCGTTGGTCCCGGCTCATCTGCAGTGCTGTGCAGTGCCAATCCGCACTGGGGGCCAATCGCCTATCTGGATTGCTTTGGAAAACGCTATCGCTTACGATTTCATTTTGTTATTTCTAACCGCCGAAATACCTCACGCTCATTTTCTTTAACATTGTTATTACCAATGCAAAAGAAAAAAAAGAGCGCGAGGCATATGAAAACCTCAGGGGGCTAGAAATAACAAAATGAAATCGTAAGCGATAGCGTTTTCCAAAGCAATCCAGTTAGGCGATTGGCCCCCTGGGCCCGCGTGGTGGGTCATCGCCCAATCTCCCTATTCCATCCATAGGGAAGGCCTGTGTCCCAGCATTGGGGACATTGATGGGCTGATGATTATGATGACGAGGAGCTCGATGGCGCGGGCGGTTGGCGCGTTCGGTGGCGATCCTTGAAGTTAAGCCACTTTCGCAGTGGTCGGTCACTGGATGGGTGACCAAAAATTTACTATTTCGAGCTCCTTCGTGCTTCGGAAAGCACGTTAAGCCGTTGGTCCGGGCTCATCTGCAGTGCAGTGCAGTGCCAATCCGCACTGGGCTCGCGTGGTGGGTCATGGCCCAATCTCCCTATTCCATCCATAGGGAAGGCCTTTGCCCCAGCAGTGGGGACATTAATAGGCTGATGATGATAATGATGATGGTGACTTATTACATTTCGTAATTCATCGCAATTTAATTCGGCTTACAATAAATCCTCTTACATTAACTGACATTAATTTAATTGTACTTTTTTGAATTTCAGACAATCAACGTCAATGAAATCGATTAATCTACGGACAGATGATAAAATTATGATGAATTGCATTAATTAATGTGTAAGCGAATGTAAACGATAACCTGTGTAAAATAAAATTATGACATAAATGTAAATAAGAATTTTTTATGTTTATTGATTAAATGCTACCGACAGAAATAGTCTTTCATTGAGTTACAGATGTGTCGATTCTGCCATGTTTCTTTAAACTTAAAACTAAATTTAACATCAGCCTCGCCTTTTCATTCTTTATAGAGAGTGACAAGGATGCACCGTTTTCAAATTTAAGTTTAGCTGTAGAGAATCATGCCAGAATCGGCACCACTATAAGAATACAGGTGAACCTTTTAGACCTCAAAGGTACTGTACTAATGGGTATTCTAAATATAGTTTGTATGTATGTTAGTCAATCACGCAAAAATAGCTGAACTGATTTAGTTGAAGTTTGGTACACCTGTAGTTTATTATTACGAGATTTAAAGAAAAAAAACATGGGTGCGTGTACTTATGTAGGCGCGTGAGAAGTTATCCTTCTTTGGCATCGTTTAAAATTAGTTTTTAATTGCATGCAAATAATTAATTACAATAAATTAATAAAAAGTCTGGAAAAGGACACAGTCAATAAAGTTCAGTTTTAATTTGAAAAAATAAATAAATAATCAAAATATTCAATTATAATCGCTACTGAATATAATTTATTAGAACATAATATGTGATTTGCACTTGTATGAAACTCAAACACGTATTCCGAATATACAAACTAGAAACATGTGGATAAATATTATAAATATGAATACCTATAACTGTTACTTTATTACAAAAAATAAAGATGTGGTTTTTTGGTTCTACTACACCAATGGTCAAGAGATGGCGCTGTAGTCTCCTGAATCGCGCTTTGGTTCCGTTGTTCCAGATTAATAAAGACTTTTGATATTATAAATATGAATACCTATAACTGTTACTTTATTACAAAAAATAAAGATGTGGTTTTTGGTTCTGTTACACCAATGGTCAAGAGATGGCGCTGTAGTCTCCTGAATCGCGCTTTGGTTCCGTTGTTCCAGATTAATAAATACTTTTGATAGGCCTTCACAATGCAGTCGTTAGCGCCCACTAAATAGAGATTCTATTTCTATTTTGTAGGTAGATTTTTTTAATGTGCGGTAAACACAAAAGTAACGACCAACTTCATGCTGTTAAAATTTTGTGTTACAGTGATGCGCGCGCATCTTAAAATTTCACTCTCATCATTTTTTCATAACGCGCCTAAAGAAGTATAACTTCAAAAAGAAAGTCCCGCGCGGAAGTTATCTAGTTATTATAAATATGAAAGGCTGTATATTTGTTACTCAATCACGCAAGAATTGCAGAATGGATTTAGATAACATTTATCACACACGTAGTTTTGTTTTATTTATATTGGTGCCTTCTCTAAACTTAAAACTAAATTTAACATCAGTCTCTCCTTTTCGTTCTGTATCGAGAACGACAAGGATATACTGTTGTCAAATTTAAGTTTCATCATCATCATCAGCCTATTAATGTCCCCACTGTTGGGGCACAGGCCTTCCCTATGGATGGAATAGGGAGATTGGGCCATGACCCACCACGCGGGCCTAGTGCGGATTGGTAGGTGCTAACGACTGCAGATGCAGCCGGGACCAACGGCTTAACGTGCCTTCCGAAGCACGGAGGAGCTCGAGATAGTAATTTATGGTCACCCATCTAATAACCGACCACTGCGAAAGTTGCTTAAGATCAACGATCGCAGCCGAACGCGCTAACCACTTGCGCCATCGAGCTCCTCAAATTTTCTTTTTTTCAAAAATAAAATTTAAGTTTCGGTTTAGAGAATCATGCTAGAATCGATACCATGGATTGTATTACCTAAACTAAGACATAAGCACAGACTTAGAATATGACACTTTTTATCTCGGAAAAAAGCAAGAATATTGTTACCAGGAGTTGCTTTTTAAATCCCGCATCAAAGATATGGAGTGATCTGTCACCACCATTTCGGGCTACTATTTTAATGTCACAATTTTATTTCAAGAATAAATGTGGTTATTAGAAAAAGCTGTTACGGCCAAAATTGTATTTAATTTAGATTTTCAATAATAATCTCTTATCTAATAGACAAGTCCGTCCGTCCGTCCGTGGTGCTGTTTCAGCGGTCAAACCGTAAGAGATAGATATAGAGAATGTTCAAGTTATAAGTTAAGAATAGTCTGACAAGACTACAAACCGGATGTGAGTAACGTAGCACTTCAGGTTTTCGAGAAATCACGTGATTTCTATTTCAAACGAAACCACACAAAATCACAGAAGTTCTCTTTTTGGTGAACATTTGGTTCACTGGTTTGCTAGTCTCTTATCTATTAGACAAGTCCGTCCGTCCGTCCGTCCGTGGTGCTGTTTCAGCGGCCAAACCGTAAGAGATAGATAAAGAGAATGTTTAAGTTATAAGTTAAGAATAGTCTGATAACACTACAAAATGGATTTGAGTAACGTAGCACTTCCGGTTTTCGAGAAATCACGTGATTTCTATTTCAAAGAAACCACACACAATCTCCGAAGTTCTCAATTAATTAATTAATTATTATTATTTTTTTTGGTGAATATTTGGTTCACTGGTTTGCTAGTTTAAAAATAATTGCACAGGCCCATAAAAAAAAACTACCCTGCGCGAAAGACTAGAATACCTGAACTTTATGTCTTCGGGGTCGCTGAGTCCAAATATGGTGCTAGAATAGCGAAGTTGGTTCGCGGTTTTTTAACAACATAAACCATATCATACAAAAACAAAAAAACGCGTACCAACTTCGCTATTCTGGCACGATAAGACATAAAGTTCAGGCAGCCTGGTCTTTCGCGAGTATGTATTAGTTATGGTTGTGGCAGAATATCAGCGACTTTCGGTAATTTATTCATTTCTTTATAAGGTTCGCCAGAAGCAAAAAAATTATTACAATCTAAACATACATTGAGGTATCTTATAGCTAAATGGTTTCGTTATATTAAGGCAAACACAGCATTACAGCCAGAATCAAGATTTGACAATTTCGATTAAATTAAAATAGACAGTGGTGCCAATTCTGGCGTGATTCTCTAAACTTAAAACTAAATTTATAATGTAATTTTCTTGATGGACTGGATCAAAACGGCAAGTATGTTGCCGCTCTTATTTGCTGTATGCTCTTGGTACATATTGATGTCCATTCTGGCATGATTCTCTAAAGTTAAACTTAAATTTGACAATAGTGTATCTTTGTCATTCTCTATACAGAATGAAAAGGACAGACTAATGTTAAATTTAGTTTTAAGTTTAGAGAATCCTGCCAGAATCGACACCACTATTTTCTTTGAGGGTATTTACAGAATTACACAAATCACAACCAATTTATGTATTGGTTAATTAAGTAAATTGGTTTTGATTTGAATTTCATGCGATTCCAGTTGGAACTAAAAAATACAATGAAGACGTTAATAAATTAAATAGATGATATGTCGAATTTATTGGTATGCAATGAATATTGATAATAAATAATCTTACTTTGATAATGATTTCGTTTTAGCTTTTATTTTCTGATTTCTCTACTTAAAACAGAATCTTATATTACACACTAGCGCCACGATGAAATGAAAGAAGTGACATTGTATTGTCCATGGACTGGTAAGAATAGCATCTACCCTCAAATTCAGGGATAGTTCATCATTTGCGTAGTTCCACATATTGATTCACATTTGACGTCCAGCGGTTGGCGGAGGCAGAAGTCCGGGAATACACAGGCACAGCACTTTCAGAAATCCAAGTAAGAATATTTTCTTGTAGTTTTTAAATTATTCATGTACTATAAAAATTGTATTCAGTAATATCGTTTATTTTTAATTTTTCCTTTCTATGCTTATTATTTTTCCGATGACGTATTTTTAAAACAAGAGAACACGTGTTTGATTTGATGGAAAGTTTTAGTGATATTGTTATTAATTTCCGTTATTTTTTATGGTTTTGCGTATTTTTGAATGTTTCATAAAACGGAAGATTTAAGATATTTTAGATTAGATATCGTGAATAGATATCGTGCCACGTGGCAGGTTTGGCTAACGATGTTCTAGTATAATAATATGATTTCTGATAATGTTTTGTGATTTGAATTTGACTTGAAATACTCTTTAACAAAATTAATGTTTATAAAATTAGTTTCGTCAATTTTCACAACGAATCCCTTAAGCCGCCATTACGATAGTCTCATTTCTCTTGCGTCTCTTTCATTAAAATCTAAGTTAATTTTTGGTAAGAAGAAACACATGGTGTGCGGGTTTAAAATACAGCAAAGTTATTATATATTTTAAGTCATTATAGGTTTAAATTTAAAGAAAATTTTGTTAGAAAGAATTCCACGCGGCCCAAGCAGCAGACTAGATGGAATGGAACCTGGACCGCGTGGAATTTTTTCTAACAAAATTATCTTTACATTTAAACATCTAGCAGTTAATTGCTTAGAAAATTAAAAATATATCATTATAGGTTGCTTAAATTTAGCACAATCGTATTCCTTTAAAAAAAATACGTGTGGCACTCTGGGACTGTTGCGGTAAAGCTATTGCATAGCATTTTTATCAACTTGTGCAATTGTAATTATATATGAATTAAATTTATGCATTTTTTTCTATTTTTATTGTTTATTCGGGTCTAAAACAAATATATAAAAAAAGAAGAAATGCGTCGAACGTTGGTCCCGTGGCAAAAACTGAACACACTGTGCCGTTTAGATCGATACTGGAATGGCGAAAATTGTATTCATATACACTCTCGTAAGGTTTTTTGTTACGGAATTTGTTGATTCGATCGCCGCGCTCAAAGCCCGCGATAAAAGCTATACAATAGCTTAAAAATCACGAAAACTTTAAAAATAACTTGCGACTGTTGAGTAGGTAAATATCGTGGCTTAGGTTGTTATGTCTGAAAGCATGCTAGCTATTGAACTTTTATATAAAATTGGACTATATCACAATCTTCCAGGTTCAATTCCCAGTCCAGCCGATTTATTGGATTTCTTTTTTGCGTTTTGTGCGGGTAGTTCCATGTAGGTAAATATTTTTCACATTTTCTCAGCTAATATAGTTTCTCCTGAATTAGCTTTCATAAAAAACATATTGCAATAAAGCGAAAATGCTTTCATGTTATTATTTTTATTAAGCCAAAATAATTTCCTCTATTTTTTAATTTTTTTTGAGGGTAGAACAAATGGAATTACTGTTGGTTGAGATTTTATCTTGGCTAAACTGTACTTCCAGGGCCCAAGTGGTGATACTTCACATTAGGTTTGTGACAATAACGCGCGAGCCGAGCGAGCAAAGCGAGCGTGTCGCGGCAGCGGCCAGCTAAGCGCCAGAAAAAAAAATCTGTTGATTCACCTTTTGGGCCCTGGAAGTACAGTTTTACCTTCATCTTTAATCTTATTATGATCGTCATACATTATTTCGAATTTATTAGTATAGACAGTTTAATTCGATTCCATCACCGCGTTAATCTATTAAAAAAATAAACTGGGCAACGTTCATGATTTTGAATGAATAGGAAAACACGGAACTTTTAAAAGACCACTTTGTCTGTCTACATTACACTTCTAAGTTAACGGGAAACTGAGATATGGCTGTTTATGATTTTCAAAAATTAAATCCATTTTAGTTCGTCAATTTTTTTGTTCCCTACCACCAGTTATGGACAATTATTTAAGCTGTGGAAAAAGAACTTCACAGCGTTAAATAATTTAAATTTAAAATTATATTGTTCCGGTGTCAATACAAAATCATATCTATCTTCATTATAATTATAGAAAAAGCCGGCCGGAACGTTTGAAACAGTTTAAACCCAAGCATTTTTACAAGCTTTTATTTAACTTGCAATGTATGTTTGTTGGGGTGAAATCTTACAACTCAATTTTAAGGCACTTGCCCTCAACCGATTGAGCTGAAATTTGGTATCCACGTTCAGTCCAACATGGCGGCATACCCAAAATGGCCGACCAATCATTTTTAATGCATTCCTACAATATGGGTATCAAATTAAAGGGCTGGCTGAGAGTAACTCGAAAAAAATATGACGTCACTCTTAATCCAATATGGCGGACTTCTAAAACTTGAAAATCAATTTTGAAACAGATATTTCCGATACCGATTGAGCTGAAATTTTGCATACATGTTCAGTTTGGATGGCAATGTATGGTCACTTTTTTTTCTTTTTAGCGCATTTAAATAAAAGCTTGTTTTTAAAAGGTTCTTTTACCTTAATTTTATTGTCTGAAATACAATCGGACACCTTAGAATAGGCTTTATTAATAAAAACTTTTTTGTTGCGTACCTACGTATGGAACCTTCGGTGAAGACTCAGACTCGTACATTTTCTAGTTTTTTCTTACCAGTACCTTCCAAAGTATTAGAAAACTTAAAGAATATGGTAATCTGTGTACGGATAACGCGCACCCTGGAACTGTTATTTGTTCGCAGCTGTAAGAAAAGCTCGTCTATCTCATGTTAGGCGCGACCAATAGAAACGGGTATAGCTTTTTATTAAAAAAGATGGTTTTTAAGGGTTCCGTACCTCAAAAGGAAAAAACTGAACCGTTATAGAATCACTTTGTTGTCCGTCCGTCCGTCCGTCCGTCCGTCTGTCAAGACCGTTTTTCTTAGGAACGCGTGGAGGTATCAAACTGAAATTCATATCTAATACTCAGGTCTACTGTCCCTTGGAGCTGTAAAAAAATCAAAAAATTAAGCCAAAGCAATCAAAAGATATAGCCGTTTATGCCGCAAATTTTCGAAACTCGCACGGGAGTCAAAACCTACAGGGTACTTCCCCTGAAATTAAATCTTGAAATTTGGTACGAAGTAACGTCTTTATAGCACAGATAAAGGAAAAATTGCGAAAACCGTAAATTTTGTAGTTCCATCATATAATAAAAAATATCTTTTAATAATTATTAAAATACAGGTTTGTACGGAACCCTCGGTGCGCGAGTCAGACGCTCACTAGTGTTGCCGAACTATCGATATTAAAACTTTTCAACAGTTTACATCGAAAATCATGTACCCTATGATAGGCCTATCGATAGAATCGATACAACCGATAGTATCGAAACTATCGATAGCTCAGAACAAAGCAATACCACCGAACGGGTGCAATACTATAGATACTGTTGTAGTTCGTTAGACATGGGCGTTTTTGGTTTTGAACGCAAACGGATATTTATCGGATTTCAGATTTCAAAATCGATCGATTTTAAAATCCGTTTTTAGATATCCGATTTCAGATGTGCCGAACTTAGCCAATTCACTAGTTTATGTTATGATTTGGTTTTATTAGCTAACGACAATCACAAACAATTAATTGTAGGAAGCAAGGATACTCGTAGATTTTCGTGATTTTCCTTCATGCTTTAAATCTAGGCTTAGGACTAGCAGAAAAGTTATGTTTACGGTTAAGAGTAAAACTTTTGCGGCGCATTTAAAAATCGGCTTTTATACAATGATTTCTTTTTACATATTTTTTTAGTATTTTTTTTTGTTTTTCTGTTTGTTTTCATTATTTTTCAAACCATTTACAAAATCAAACCTAATTACTTCAGGTTAGCGTCCAAAAATGTAAGTTGCTCGACTTTTGATGTTTTTAGACGACATATCTTTACAGTGATAAATAATCCCGCCTCAGAGAAGAGCAATAGATTTCCGTAAACAGCAAATCGAAATCGGACTTCCGAGCACGAAATCTCACTTCCGAAAACGAAAGCACGAATTTCGAATCCGATTTACATTTGGATACTTGTGGTATTAGATCGCTAGCGTTTTGGTTCGGTTAGATTTCTGAAATCGGATTTTCTTGTTGAGAAATCGTTCGGTATCGATTTGTGTTTGAAATCGGATTTTGGATTCGTTTTGATATATCGGACGCATGCCTATAGTTCGTTAATAACAAACTATTGATAGTATCGATACTAGCGATTGTTTTAGACTAAAGTTTGTGATTGACTATAAACAATACTATTTCAAATTGTTAAACTATCGATAGTATGGTTGCAAATAAAATCGACAGTATCGATACTATCGATTGTTTGTTATTAACGAACTACAATGCTATCGATAATATTTAACTCATCCGATAGCATTGGCTTTTTCTGTGCTATCGATAGTATCGATACTATCGTGAAGCCGATCGATTGTCATACGATTGGTTATAAACTATCGAATAATCATAGATAGTCGACTATCGATTGGCAACACTATATTTGAATAAAGATTACAATGTATTCGTATTGTTTCGTGTAGAATGGTGGCTCCTTTGGCTGCGGCGCACGTGTGTGCGATGGGCAGCACCAGTGTAGGCGGCGCAGTGGCGGCAGCGCTCCACTTCTTCGCCGTAGCGCAGTGCATGCTGCACGAGCCGTGGCCGGAGCAACCGAAAGTGTTCAGTGAGTACCTCATCATCATTAGCAGCCTATTAATATCCCCACTGCTGGGGCACAGGATAGGGAGATTCTTCCCTAGCGATGGGATAGGGAGATTAGGCCATGACCCACCACGCGGGTCGATACAGATTGTTTTTATTTGAGTGTGTGTGCCGTTGGTCGCAGATGACCTAAGATGAGATCCTAAGGGGACCTCAAGCAGAGAATTGGTGAGTGCCTCTTGAGGTATTTCAGGCGGATAGCATCTCCCCACGGGGGGAGTCTGCTCTCCGTTCGCAGCCTCAGAACACTCGAACACTCTTAACTTAGGGGCAAGGGCGGATCCAGGGGGGGGGGGGGTCATGGGGGTCATGCCCCCCCCCCCTTGGCTGGGTCCATTTGTACCCACTTCACAATCTGTACTTTACAATCTGTTCCCATTGTGACTTGATCACGACTATATGACCCACCCCTGGCGCCAAAGCTGGATTCGCCCTTGCTTAGGGGCACAGATTGATGTGTGCTAACGACTGAAAATGCAGCCGGGACAAACGTCTTAACCTGCCTTCTGAAGCACGTTGGAGCTCTAGATCAGTTTTTGGTTACCCATCCAATGACCGGCCATTACGAAAGTTGTTTAGTTTTACAGATCGAACACGCTAAGCACTGAGTTCCGCCTATACACCTATACTCGCAAGCTTTAAAGAGTTAATTGATTAGGTGTTGTGATGTATGAGAGAGCGAGGCATTCTAATACAGGTGTATATGTTTACCTAAAAGAGTGCTTCAATAACTTTTATGTTAATTTAATTTGGTTACAGAATAAATATTTTTATTTTTTTAATTTTTAAATTGTGGCTATACATCTAAACAAAAGATTGCAGGATGTGATTGTATAAAATAAACATTGTTTGTGTTCTACAGACGAGTCTCACTTCGACTTCATCGTCGTCGGGGGCGGCACCGCCGGCTCGGTGCTTGCGGCGCGGCTGGCGCAGCTGCGTGACGTCACCGTGCTCCTGCTGGAGGCCGGGCCAGACCCGCCCACTGACAGCACCGTATGTACCCTTTTTTTATTTTTGTGACTCTGCCAAAAACTCTGTTTACAGACGACGGCGCCTTTAAGAGGCACACCGCCGAACGGACCTCGCACCTGGCTCCCGCAAACCTTAGGAGCCCCCACAGTGGCTGCCCACTGAGGACCCCGTAACTCTTACGGGCGCTTTACGGCATAATATCCGCTAAAAACCCTGCGAATACCCTCTAAGCTGCTTAGTGCGAAGTAGGGATTCTTCCGCGTCTCCGCACCCAGCAGCGTCTCGACCTTGCCGGGGCTCCACGGCAGGGGTCTCCCGAGGTATTGCGGGGACCCCGCAGACGTGCGCAGGATGGCCCGCGCGTGGGGGCAGAATACGCGGCCTAGTGCCCACCGCACCGCCCCCCGTCCGCTGCGGAGGGCTACTTGGGCGTGCCCGTGTAGCTCCCTCCGCCGCCCCCCTCTTGGCAGGACAGAACTACAAGATGGGGGGCTGCCGTCTACCGTATGTACCCTGCACACATGTAACACTTACAAAAGTATACTAACAGACAGGGTTTCTTATTGTTAAATAAAGCACTCTTGTTTCAGAGTTCAATTCTCTGTTAAATGAATTACTTTTAAATAGTTTCTTTATATTTCAGGAATAGAAGTTATTGTGTTGCCGCTGTTAACGGCTACGTTTAAGCGCAGGCCGCATTAAAGGCTGTTAGGGTCCCCACGGGCCACCGACCACAACTCACAACGTTGCCACCGGCATATTTCCTGTAGTTTTCATACATTTTATATGGACTTCCCACGAAGCGTGTGGCGGCCATTGGCGTTAACCGTGTGTGGCGGGCGAGTCCATTAAAAATGTATGAAAACGACAGGAAATATGCCAGTGGCGGCATTTAGTGGTTGTGGCCGGTGGCCCGTGGGCGGCGACACTTATAATACAAGTTATATTTGTTTGTACTTGAGTTCGCACAGGCTTTCGTCTTTAATACGAGCAGTGGATGGATGACAATCTTTATTTATATAAATATCTCTTTTACAGATCCCGGCCTACAAAGACTTGTTGAAAAGCGGCCCCTACGATTGGAATTTCACTTCGCTCACGGACGGCCACTCTGGGACCGCGCTAAAGGGAGGTATACAACGCCAGCCGCGCGGCCGCATGCTGGGTGGCTCAGCCTCCGCCAACGACATGATCTACACTCGCGGCTTCCCCAAGGACTTCCAGAAGTGGGCAGAGATCGCCGGCCCCAGCTGGGACTGGGACACCGTCCTCTCCTACTATAAGAAGACCGAACATCTCACCGATGAGAAGATCCTGAACGACCCCGTCCTCATGGCGTACCATTCTGTTCACGGAGAGATGGTCGTCAGTGGAACGAAGCATCCTGCGAAAGAAGTCGAAATGTTCCTTAAAGCATTCAACGAAGTGGGATTCGACTTAGTCAACGACATGACCTACCCGGGGAAATTCGGAGCTGGACGTTTTTTGCATACCATCAGGGAAGGACGCCGCGAGAGCACCGCCACCGCGTTCATCAATCGAAACAGATCAAAGTCTAAGAACCAGGGTAACCTTTTCGTTTTAAGAAACGCGCTCGCAACTCAGGTCTTGATCAATGCCAACAAAACCGCTTACGGAGTGAAAGTACTAAGAGACGGTAAGCATGAGCACGTGTATTATTCAGATTTCGAAGTGGTGCTGACGGCCGGCGCGTTCAACACGCCAAAGTTGCTGATTTTGTCCGGCGTCGGTCCCAAGAAACAAATGACCGACTTAGGTATACCATTGGTGCAAGAATTGCCCGTCGGTGAGACGCTGCATGACCACGCGATGGTGCTCACCTACATTATTGCGAACGGCAGCTTGTGCTCGCAGTCAAAGTCCGAGCAGCACATGGAAATGATAAAGTACTTGCACGACCAGACCGGCGCGCTCAGCTCTTCGGACAGCATGGGCGTCTACTTGACGTTGGATGCCAGCTCCAACAGCACCGTGCCCGATTTCGGCATCTACCCAGTGTGCATTCCGAAAAACTCCGGTTTCAAAGAGGCGTGCGGCTCGATCTTGAACTTCAGGGATTCCGTGTGCGAGAAGCTAGGCGCTGTGAACAAGGAACACGAGTTGCTGTCCTTCGCCGTCGTGAACCTGGACCCGAAATCGAGGGGCAAGGTGCGGCTGGTGACGAAGGACCCGCTCGAGAACCCGATCGTGCACTCTGGCACCTTCAGCGACCCGGCGGACTTCGAGGGGTACCACGAGGTGTTGGGGATCGTGTACTCGCTGCTGAACACGACCTACCTGAAGAAAAAGGGAGCGCGCGTCGTCGATCTCGAGTTGGAGGAGTGCGTGGATAAGGTCGGCGACGAGGAGATTAGAAAGTGTTACGCGAAGGCGGTGGGGACTTCGGCGTGGCGGTCCGCGGGCACGGCAGCGCTGGGCGCGGTGCTGGAGGCGGACCTGCGCGTGCGCGGCGTGGGCGGCCTGCGTGTGGCCGACGCTAGCGCCATGCCTACGGGCGTGCGCGGCAACATCAACGCCCCGGTGGTGATGATCGCCGAGCGCGCCTTTGATTTCATTAAGGAGAGATTAAAAGACCTCTCCTACAACTTTCTTGTATAGTTGATTCGAATGCACGATGTGACGTGACGTACGAAGCTTTTTTTTGTCATTTTTCTATGTTTTATTTATAAGAAATCGTGGGCGATGTGTGACGGTGTTGTGTTTACCTCGAAGGAACGCGGTGGCGCTCGGTCGCCGCGTGCGTATAGTATCTCTTCTCTGCCGTGATCTATCGCGTCTGCTGCGCTGGAAGAGCGGGTGGTGAATGGGGACGATCTATTTTCTCGTTCGCGACATAGAAAATAGGTTGTGCCCATTCCGGATACTTACTGGCCAGTCTTGGACATCGGATCACTAGTCGTCATCGTGGACTTAGTTATTTCATCGTAGGAGTCGAGTCCTACTTTTAATGTCTAGTGATCCTAGTTTAGACTTCCCGTAATGGAAAATAGTAATATTAAAGTAATACCTGCCTCCCTTCTTCCAGCTGGATGACATTATTATGAGCAGCACACTCGCCCAATCATAAGTTTTGTAATTATTAAGCTTTTATACAATTCGACATTTTTTTTATTATTCTTTACAATTTATACCTTATTTTTTTATTATAATTTTACAATTAATTAATTCATGAATTTGACCTAATTCTATGAAACAATGTAATATTTTCCATTATTATTAGATGTTTGTAACCACGGAAATGATTGAGCTTTAGAATCAGTATTATAGGCAAGTATTTTCATAATTATTAAGTTAATTAACGACTGACATTAAATAAATCAAATGTCCAAACCGCTTTTGGGTAAGTTTTAGGAATTAATTTTTGATTGTATTGTTTTAATAATGTATTTAGAAATAATAAAATAGTAATGAAACGAATTGTTTTATTTATTCATGGCATGTAGGAGGCAAGAAAGAAAGTAGAAAGAAAAGAAAGTAGGCATTAACATCCCTAAAGTACGTATATGAAGCAGAGTATCTAATGAAAGCCGAGTATTGGGGCATGGTCTTGATTTCGCTTTATAATTTTTATTTTAGATAAAGTGCCTGTTCAATAGAACTATTAAACACATTTATACCAACCTAACCATACTTGTAACAACTATGTATACAACAAGATGCAATAAATGAATATACCTCTTATACGAATACCGTTGTGCGGCTACTATCCCGACTATATTTAATTTATTTATTTATTAGGACCACCAGAGAAAGTTGCATTAAATCTTATTTTTAAACATTATAGATACATACAAAATTCTATTGAAGGTAGCCACATCATGCTTAAGAGACAGTACGAACGGACCGGATTTTAATTAAATAAACTGAAAGACAAACTGAAACAATATATAAATAATGAAATTTATGGACTATTAGTTGCGCCTTTGAAGCTGTACATAATAGAACACGAATATATATAATTATTCCATATAATAAATTTATACTAACTTAATACTCTGTTATACCATTTAGAAAAATTAAATGGCTGTTATACCAAAATTTTAGCCGTACAAGACCTGTCTAATCAAATTATGTGCTCATTGGGGTACCAATTCAAGGTACAAGATGCACTCGTAAGGAATATTTCGTCGTTATCTGCTCTGGAACGTGATAAGACATTCTCGAGTTGTCTTTATCTCTGTAAAAAACGATGTGAGCAACATCAAGGTTCATTAACCGTATTAGGTTTCCGATGAAATGGCGTTTTAAGGGATTCCATTCCGGTAAGCAGGAACCAATGTGTCTATGCGTGTCAATATAATGATTTATTGATGCGTTAACAAGAGGATAGGTATCGTTATTACAAATAGAAATATAAGATCTTCCGTCAGCAACAACCGCAGCCGACGGGCGGTTACTTGGCACATGTTGGTGTCGCCGCACACGGGCCACACGCCACAGCCACAAACGCCGCCACGAGAAGCTAGAAGCGGCTACTAAAGTGGCTGAAGCGCGCGACAGCGGCCGACTGAGGTAAGGGAAGAGAGGGTGGGGAAATTGCACGAGTGACGTGTGGCGGCGTTTTGTATCGGCGCATTAAGTGGCCGGTGCGGGCCACAAGAAGCGAGCAATAAGGATGTCGAAAGTTGAAAAAAATATCGATATATCGCACCAATTTTCCCAAAAATATATATATTTAGGTCAGCCTAGGACAGTAATAATAGTTCAATACAAATTATAATTAAAGAAAGAATTATCAAAGTACCAAATTGCCGCTACACTACATGACAGTACAGTATTTCACGAAATATGACACGCGGAATAATAATGGAACGAAAATTATCTCCCTAAAAATAGACCCTATTTTCGAATGATGAAAATGATTGCAGGGCCTCTCAGGTGCCATCTTTCGTAAACAAGACTAGACAGTCACACACTTCCACAGAATATAATGGAAATCAGCACAACCAATTCACCAGCGAAACAGATTTACAAATAATAGACAATACTAAATACAGTACAGATCATAGATATGTTGAATATCAATAATCTGAGATCCAGTTACGATTTTTCCAGATACGAATTTAGTTAGATCGTGATATGCCGCTAATAATTAAAAAATATCGTTTTCGATACGAATTTCAATATTGGTTATTTTGTATCGATGTATCGATATATCGGCAAAAAATATCGATATATCAAACAAAAAATAGCGATATATCGATACATCGATATATTTTGCCTGGCGAGCAACGACGATTTGTAGCGTGAGGCGGCCACCGGCGACGTATCGTGTATGGCGAGTCCATATAAAATGTATGAAAACTACAAGAAATATTCCAGTGGCGGCGTTTTGTGGTTGTGGTCGGTGGCCCGTGTGCCGCGACACTTAGGGTTGCACATTTTCAAACTGTAGTAGTAGATACTCCTATGCATACTATACATGGTAATGAAATGAAATAAAAAATATTAATTCACACAAAACAGAGTGGATACATTTGGATGGTGATTTTCATTTAGTTCGTCCATTTTAGCCAACGACAGGGCATGGTAATAAGATTATTACGAACATAGCGTTGTGTTATACTTATATTTTTTTACTGAAGTAACTGCATAAACTGCATTTGTTTGTTAAAATATAATATTTATGTTAGATTTAAGATATAACTATTAGTGTTGCACCTACTGTTGACGAACTATCGATATGAAAACTATCGACAGTTTATATCAAAAATCATGTACCCTACCGATAGGCCTATCGATAGAATCGATACAACCGATAGTATCGAAACTATCGATAGCTCAAAACAAGGCAATACTATCGAATGAGTGCAATACTATAGATACCATGGATACTGTTGTAGTTCGTTAATAACAACCTATTGATAGTATCGATACTGTTGCTTTTATCTGCAACAATACTATCGAAAGTATCGATACTAGCGATTGTTTCAGGCTAAAGTTTGTGATTGACTATAATACCTGAAAATTGTAAACAATACTATTGCAAATTGTTAAACTATCGATAGTATGTTTGCAAATAAAATCGACAGTATCGATAGTTTGTTATTAACGAACTACAATGCTATCGATAGTATTTAACTCATCCGATAGTATTGGCCTTTTCTGTGCTATCGATAGTATCAATACTGTCGATTTTATCGATCGATACTATCGATTAATCATCGATAGTCGACTATCGATCGGCAACACAAGTTGCACTGAATATGGGTCCTACCGAATGTCGGATTCGGCCGAATGTTCGGTTTCATGTGTATTAAATTTCGCGTATTAATGCCAATGAACAAAATGTTCAAATATTATTTTGTTACAATAATGAAATACAAAAAGCCAAAGTATCATTATCTAAAATGAGTAACAAAGAACAATAAAGGATATTTTGATACTTGATGTTTTGTCTTGTTTAGGGCAATAAAACCAAACACTAACGATCATACACGTTATGCTTTATTATTGCTTTCAAATAACCATTTCATGCTTTCTTTATTATTGCTTACGAGGAGCTCGATGGCGCAGGTGGTTAGCGCGTTCGGCTGCGATCGTTGTAGTTAAGCAACTTTCGCAGTGGTCAGTCATTGGATGGGTGACCAAAAATATCTATCTCGAGTTCCTCCGTGCTTCGGAAGGCACGTGAAGCCGTTGGTCCCGGTTGCATCTGCAGTCGTTAGCACCTGCCAATCCGCACTGGGCCCGCGTGGTGGGTCATGGCCCAATCTCCCTTTTCCATCCATAGGGAAGGCCTGTGCCCCAGCAGTGGGGACATTAAGAGGCTGATGATGATGAACCATTTCATCTCTAATACTTATGTGGCATGTGGCCACAGCTGCGTCATCGTCTCCTGGCGGAATACGTAGATCAAACACAAATACTTGCTTTAGCTAAATATTTACAACCCAACTCCTATGAGTTAGACTATACTTACGTACTTAAATATCTACTTCTGACAGATAGTTAGTAGAGGTTTATAGTTTATACCTCCACTGACCGCTTGTCTGTTAGCGAGCTGTAGTAAAAGCTAAAATTAAAAAAAAAGCGAGTGCGCTTATGACCACACGAAAGAAGTGAAACTTATTTAGCTCCAATGATCTGAAAATCATAAACTTAACCTGAAGTTTTTATGGTAGAAAACTCTCACTCTCTAATCCGCACTGGGTCCATTATCACCCTGTAATCCGCGCTGGGTCCATTATCACCCACCAATCCACACTGGGTCCGTTATCACCCACCAGTCCGCGCTGGGCCGTTATCACCCACCAGTCCGCGCTGGGTCCGTTATCACCCACTAATCCGCGCTGGGTCCGTTATTACCCCCCAATCCACGCTGGGTCCGTTATCATCCTCCAATCCGCGCTGGGTCCGTTATCACCCACCAATCCGCACTGGGTCCGTTATCACCCACCAACCCGCGCTGAGTCCGTTATCACCCACCAATCCGCGCTGGGTTCGTTATCACCCACCAATCCGCGCTGGGTTCGTTATTACCCCCCAATCCACGCTGGGTCCGTTATCATCCTCCAATCAGCGCTGGGTCCGTTATCACCGACCAATCCGCGCTGGGTTCGTTATCACCCACCAATCCACACTGGGTCCGTTATCACCCACCAATCCGCGCTGGGTTCGTTATTACCCACCAATCCGCGCTGGGTCCGTTATCACCCACCAATCCGCGCTGGGTTCGTTATTACCCACCAATCCGCGCTGGGTTCGTTATCACCCACCAATCCGCTCTGGGTCCGTTATCATCCACCAATCCGCGCTGGGTTCGTTATTACCCACCAATCCGCGCTGGGTCCGTTATCACCCACCAATCCGCGCTGGGTTCGTTATTACCCACCAATCCGCGCTGGGTTCGTTATCACCCACCAATCCGCTCTGGGTCCGTTATCATCCACCAATCCGCGCTGGGTTCGTTATTACCCACCAATCCGCGCTGGGTCCGTTATCATCCTCCAATCCGCGCTGGGTCCGTTATTACCCACCAAGCACTAGATTCAAGTATTTTGTGACGGGTATTGTTCATTGTTTACCGATGAGTGCACGCGTAACGTAACGGTGCGCGCGTAACGCAAAAATCGTCACACATTCGCCAGTTTACCCCCCAAGTCAAGCGTGCGTGGCTTTGTATAGTTTCAATATACGCGGCTCGTGTTATTTGGACAGGTGCAGACGTACGCCTGCCACTTCCTTCCGAGATGCGCGCGCGCTGGTATACGGAACAGAAAGCATCCGTTATAGTACCTTTTTTTTTAAATATATCTTTATTCAAATATTGTATAAAAATACTTATAATACACACATCAAAAGTGTCTAGGGATCAAGCATTTTTATGCGGATTTCTTGAGATAGAGATGTGGCTTTGTAATAAATTTATGATTTTATAAATTTATATGGATCCTTTTTGGTGCATTTCATAATTTGAATCAGGAACTGTGAATCAAATTCGAGTAAAAGATGAAAATCAGCTGTCAATATTTTCCCTATAAAAACATACAACGCATTGAAGACATTATTAGTGCTACTGTTTCCCTAC